GACTTGAATAAAGTTTGAGCACTGTTCAAAACTTGTTTCTGCTCTGTGCACAAGGGAGCAGTGTTTGTGCCATGACTGGTTGATGTGAGACTGGTTGCCTACTCATCTAGACAATCTATATTTGATTTGGAGGATGTGGGACCCTTTACCCAAGAATGCATTTTGAAAGAAGAAAAAACAGTTATCTTAGGACTTAGGGTAGAAGATCATGAGCCAGGAAAGAAAGATGGATGAGGAGTACAAACAGAAATAAGAGATGTGTGGGAACTAGACTGTGCCTGGAGAAAGATCAGACAAGAGAATGAAGAGATGAAGCAACAATAAATGAAAATAAAAGAGAAAACATAACAGACAACAGATCTCCAATGCAAGAGTAAACAAGTTGTGTACATTGCCAGACGGCAGGTACACACAGGGGGAACTCTGAGGATATCAGCACCAGCTTTTCCCACAAATACAGCTATAACTTTCTCCAGAAAGGACAAAATGTCAAATGACGTGTACAGTCTTTCCACAGATACTGCTGGAGCAGCTGTTACAGGAGGCTCTATCATGGTTGTGGGGGCTGACAGAATTATCATTTGCTTCCTGAAAAAAGTTTGCTATTTATTTCTGATGGTGTGAAAAGACAGAAAGCAAGAAAGCAACTTTGGCTTCTCCATGACTTGTGTATAATTGCCAAGACCACACAAACAAAACATATAAAATAAAAAATTATTACAATGCCACCTGTAGATTCTGCTTTATAGCCTTGAAGCAGTGAATTAACATGGACAGGTTTCCTCAGGACACTTCTTTTGTAATTGCTCCCAGCTACAGCCTTTTGGCTATTGCTCTGGTTTTTTCATTGGGAATATCTGACATCCTTATCAGGAAAATGGTTAAAACAGTATTGCCTGGCTGTTACACCATCTGCTTGACACAGGCACTGAAAAACCTGCAAAGGTTCTAGTCCAAATTTCCCCTGTCTGTTGCCTCTAATTTCATCCTCAGTGGACATGATGAGAAATTTATTCTTTTGTCTTTGTTGCAGCTACCTACTTGAGAGCTGCCAGCATGCCTTCTATTAATCTTTTGCTCTCTGTGCTAAACAAAAGCAATTCTTGCACTCCTTGAGAGGTCTTTTTTTTTTTTCTAGACTCCTGATTATTTTTATGGTTCTCCATCAAGCCCTGCTCTAGGCATCAACAACCTTATCAACACCCTTCTGAAGCTGGGCCGAGTACTTCAGCAGTGGACTCACCAGTGCTCACTTGAAAGGAGTGATTTTAGTATGAACATGTGCTCCTTTCTACCTAGTGCAGATCAAGTGAAAAATGTCAACAGGCCATTTCACTCACAATTTCTGTAGTGATAGTGACTTTTCCATAAACTTAACTTCTTTTCAAAATTGGATATTCATGCCAAAACAGACAGCATTTAAATCCAGTAGTTCATGTAATGTATAGAATAAATACATATTTTGAACAATCTATTAATCTTAAAAATTTTTTTGGTTTGACTTCTTGGCACTCGTTTTTTTATGAGCTGTTTCATGTGAAGTTTTAAAGTTAGTTGTTTGTGCCCTGTAGTATTCTTTAGTCTATAAACAGAACTACTGATGTAATATCACACAGTCTGCTTTGTTTCTGTCTTAATTATAGTAATGACAGGCATCTAATTAATACAAGGTCAAAACGAGTGTAACTTAGTCTTCCCAGTGTAAAGGTAAAAATAAGTGAGAGAGAGGGAAAAAATGATGAGAGAGCTCAGACTTTGGAGATTGAAGCCTAAATCAAAAGATGCAATTGGAGGAAAACTATGACTGTTGATCAGCCCTGACTGAATTCAGGGACTCCTTCTAAATTTTAAAAAAGAAAGGAAGTTCAGTGTTTCAGTTTTTTCATTTTGAAATTGTGTCTGGAGACCAGATACAAGCTATTTCACGGTTGCTTTAATTTCAGAACAAATGTACCATTTCAATTCAAGCCAGAAAGGACAATGAAGGGAAATTTTGTGAACCTGAAAAAAAAAAAAGAAAAAAAAAAGAAAAAAAGAAGTGTTTTTTTTTTCATTTCAGCTTTGTGTCCATGGGTCAAATGTTTTTCAAGCTCTTCTTAATTCCTTCTTAGTTTTCCCTGCCACCCTTATTGCCTTCCTGGCCTTCCCCTCTCATCATCTTCCTGTCCTGTTATCTTTTCTCTGAGTTCTGATTTCTTCTCACCTTTAATCTACTTTTAGACATGTTTTTTTTCTTTCTGGATCTTACCACCATCATTCCTTGATTCAACTCAGTTTCACCCCTGAGCATCTTTTAGCTCTGTGCATGCTTTCCAGGGGCAAGGTTGCTACATTTCCGGTTGCCTGCACCCTTTGGCTGTGTTTATTGCCAGGGAGCACAGCAAATGGGAGAAGTCTGTGTGTAGGAGAAGTTGTCAGATTTTGGCTACTCCCATGTAAGAGTACATGGAGGTGCTCTTGTATCAAAGTGATCACTGCATCTAGGTTGCTGACAGCCATGCAATTATAACTTTGTTGTCCAATATGACATAAACAGAAAAATTAAAGTTTCTGTCTCTCTTTGTCTAGTAAGAGTCTTGAATGGGCCGTAGTTCTTTTCTCAGTCATTTTTTATCTTTTGCTTTTATCCTCCATAGGGTTCTCTTTAGTCACATCTTAATATGGCAAATAAGATCACATAATAGACCACCAGTTTTGTCACTTCTTTTCATCAACCAATATCCCTGAAATTCTGGCTAGTTTTAAGCATTTTTGCATGTTGCTTTCAATTTGCTTTAAAAGTATACTTAATCATCCACTATTTTAAAAAAGCAATTAATTCCTAAAACTAGACTTCATTCTACTCTGCTAATAAAATTTACATTAGTTCATCTCCAGCCTGTGATAAAATCAGCGAATTGAGAATCATAACAAAACTGTGACTTAATTTTTTTCATTTATTTTTAAAATTTTGAGTAGATCTCAGGCTATCAACATGGTTATTAAATGGAAGGTCTTTAAAGCATGAATAAGCTAAGTATTGTAATGGGCTTTCCACAAAGCCAGACTTAGTTAAGTGGAGAGTTAGGGAATGAGCTAATTGGCCAGCTAGTGCATTTAGCTGATATTACTGACATGGTAGTTACTGAGAGATGTTATAACAAACCTTACGAAATGTAGGCACTGTTGAAAAACATTCTGGTTTAATACTGTGACCTCATGGCATGAGGATTTACAAGAGCTTGGTCAGCAGCTCCTAATGAGAATGAAGAGATGGAAAAGTGCTTGTTATTTAGGGAAACAAGATTGCTTTTTGGTCCGTTTGGATAAAGCAGGTTTTCAAAGTACTTCAGGTGTGAGTTATGAATCATTATTTGGACTGGGTAACTAAATGGCAGGAAAAACAGTATTTAAAATGCACTAAGCAAAGGGCCGTGCATAACCTGACTGTGTTCATGTGTCCCAGGGAGCAGGGATGGGGCAGCAGCAGGCCCGCAGGGAGTGGATTTAAAGTGATATGGCATATACCTATATCAAAGTGGGGCAGCAGGTGCTGTGACGAGGCGTTGCGGCAGGGTGCCCAGGGAAGGTGCCCAGGAGAGCGGGGCTCATGGAGAAGGGGCAACAATCCAGCTGAGACCCATTAGAATTGGGTGCCAAGAGAGTCCATAAAACCTTACCCTGCTTGAAGAAGAGTCTTAAGGACTCATCTGTAGGCCTTAACATGTGCCTGCAGAGCTCCTGCAATTGTATTATGTATGAGTTTTTTTCCAGGTTAGATCTGTGACTCTGGCAGGCCTCGGGTGGTGCTCGTGAAATGTTAATCAGAGGACATCATGCTGAGCAAAGGGAACAAAGCTGACTGTTCTGCCCTGTAGCCAAAAAAAGAGAGAATGCCAGCATATATTACCATGAATGGAATCACACAAGAATAGTGACATGTTGTCCTGACTCAGTTTTGTGATGTCTCCATTACAGCATTCTAATGCAGCATGACAGGATGTCACGCTCCAAACCTGCAAGAGCTAGGGAATTAGTTTGTGCCATTTTCCTCTCCCTCCCATTCAGTCGCAGAGCTGATCTTTTTGTCCCCAAATGTACCCATCCTTGTCTCACAGGTGTGTAAAATGGTTGTGAAATGCCACTGTTTCTGACTGAAAGTGTTCTTATCACCCCTTGACTTCTTGTACTAGAAAAATATGGGCACCATAGACCTAAGACTGAGAATCTTATTTGAAGCCAAAACTCCATTTGAGTTATGCTGTTACTACATTTCAGCACAGCCAGAAGACATAGAAATTATTTTGGTTTTGATTTAGTGGAGGGGGCTTGGGGCCAGTCTATTTGTTATGTAATATTGGAGATTTTCATTTACTAACTTGACCCAGGATTTTTAAAATTGGCATAGTTCACCGCAGTAAAACTCCCAACAGCTGGAGCACTGCCTTGAGACTAGTGGGAAAAGTCAGTCATTCCTCACTTAAGTGCTTCCTGAGCCCTGTTCTGTGATTTCTTCCCTTCCCCTTGCATGTAAGGATTAGAGTGATGCTGAAAACTCTTCCTGAAGTGCTTGTACTAGCAGGGAGCTAGTACAGTTTTGTCCCTCCAAGGCAGGAGAATTAGTGCTTGCTCTTGCAGCCAGTTATTTTAGCTAATCCTAGAGCAACTGTGATTGTACTCAGTCAGAGGAGGCACTTGCAAAAAAACCTTTACTTTCTCCATGTTTTTTACAAGGATAATATCGAAGACAGTAATACCTGTTGGAAAGCAACCCACAGTCCAAGGAAGGTGGCTGTAGCAGATGCTCCCCATTACAGCAGTGAGGGCAAAGCTAAGAGATTTAGGACACACCTTAAAACAGTTGATGGCAGAGCTGTATTATTTCATTGCTTCTGCTGATAGACTTCTGAACTGGATTTTCCAGGAAGGTCCTTGCTGCTCTCTGCCTAATATGCCTACACAGTGCTAACCTGATCTGGGAAATGGCTGAAGTAATGTGATTCTTTCTGTGTTTATTTCAGAAAATGAGAATTCAACCAGTACTGTCAGAACATCTGTTTCTGCGACAACATCAAAATCAGGTGAGAGTTCAGATTCACTGTTATCTAGTATTCTGAAGCTCCCTTTGCTTTTTTAGCTTTACATTTTTCCAACTTCTGGGAGAAATTAGGTAACTTATTTAACATAAGGTGACTGTAGAGCAATGTATTTCCCTAAGCATCATATAAAAGTCTTTGAAGAAGAAGAGATTGAGGGATTTTTAGTAAGGAGAGGGTTAATTTCAGCAGGCTGCATTTTTTGTTTCAGGTGAAGAAGGCTGAAATTCCATGAGTTACTGTGCTCTCAAGGAGTGGTTCAAGTGTGATCAGATATTTAAAAATCAGCTAAGATTTATAGTTCAAGAAGTCATCAGATTCAGAATAATTTGGGTAACAGCATCAGTTAAGGAACTGGGCAGCAGGGAGTAGCTGATTTGATGGGTGTAGAGTGATGGAAGAAGAAATTAACTTTACTAGTAAAGAATCACACAAATACACCAATTTTTGGGCTCAGTTGGAAAGAATACATGTACATAAAGCTGTCACTTGCAGACATGCTGTTGGTAACTTCTTGAAACTATTGATGTCAAGATTGACTTTTGGGGGTAAGGGAGTGGCACCAGTGTGCTCAGTTTCAGGAACTGTGTTCTCTCTGGGAATTGTTTTTACTAGATCAAACTTGAAGTCCTAAAATTATGAAGACTCAGCACAGAAGTTACTGGTTCACATGATAAAAGTTGTGGTTCTGGTTTACAGCTTCGACTGACACATTCAGTTCTGTTATATTTTGTAGCTTTGTAGTTATGAAAAATCCATATTAACCATGTATCATTCATGTGACCTAACTATTGACTCCTTTATCAGTTTGAATATTGAAGACTGCTGCATCTCATAAATTGAGAGAAAAAAACCTAACAGCTTGAACACAGAATTATATTTTTTGATAACTAGAGGTATTAATGAGTCTGTTTTGGAGCTGAAAGCACTGAGACAATAATGATGTATCAACTTGAAATGCTAGTAATGGAGTGAATAAAATGCAGCCAGGTGAAGTACGCATATGTCATGTTTATTAGAGCAGAAGAACTATTCCATTTCAAATTGTGTTGGAGTTCTTTTATGTTTCAAAAACCCTGATGTTCATGTCTGTTTCAAAGGCATTTTTAAAAATGCCCAACATCTCATAGTGAATGAGCTCTTCAAATGTCTCACTGAAATTTCTCTCAGCTTTTTGTGTAAAGAAGGGTAAACAGTATGTTTATGTTTATGAGAAAAGCATCAGAAGCCCACTGTAAGATTAAAGCACTTTGTGGGTGTGGAACAAGCTCACAGGGAGGGCCATTCTTTGAGGCACTGCTATTCTAATTGAAGCTTAGCACACATCTCTTCCTTAGAGGCTGGAAGGTACAGCTGTTAACTTGCAGAGGGCAACTTCTAGATTGTCCCCAGCCAAACCTTCCCTCTGGTACCAACAATACACACTTTGAATCCTCTTTAAAATTGTGTAGGTAAGAAAGCTCTGTAAGGGCCAGACTTCAACAGAAATTCGCTGTCTTTGTGAGGGAGGGCACCTAGAGGTATGGGATACTTCATGCATGGTAAAACAAATTAATAAAGATTTGCCTTTCTGATGACTGCCTTTCTTGCAGTAACGGAAGCTGGGAAAGCATCAGCTTCACAAGCAATAACACTGCAACAACAAGTGACAGTGCTGACAACAGCTACAGTCAGACCTACAACTGAATCCATCATAAGTAGTAAGTTAAAGTTCATTTGAGCTAATTGTTGATGCTGTTCCAGTGGTTGTTCAGCAGCAGCACCTTTTGGCTTGGAAATTTGTTTTACAGATAGTGAACTCTGGTGAAACCTTGCAGGGGTGCAGAGGAGCTTCCTGCTGGTCAGTCTCAAGGCAGACCTTGTAACTGCATTGTCACAAGCTTATTGCTCTGGGACAGGCAGTGGCTTTCTCTGCACAAAGGGAGTCCTGTCCCTCTTGATCTGCAATTTAAATTGAATATTATTTTGCTAATTTAAAACTAGTCTGCAAGAAGAGCAAGCAAGGTGTGTTTTGTGTGTATATGTATGTCTGTATGGAAAATTGAAGAAATAATTTGAATGTGACTTCTTTATTAGATGCCACGACTTCTTCACATAATACTACACAACAAATAACACAAGGTACAACAACACAACCACCAGTAAAAGAGACCACTGAAGCAGCAGCTAAAAGTGGCAGCACAACAAACAGTAAGTGATAATTTCATTGAGACATTTCTGATTTTTTGTATGCTACATTTCTGTAAAATGCTGCATAGCAATACAAGGAGGTCAAAAAGAGCAGTTTGGGTTATGGATTTGGAGGTTTGAGGAAGCAGAGCTATTCATCCTACCATATTACATATCTTTTATGAATCTCGCCCTATAATCTTACAAAAATAATATTATACCTTTAATTGGTAGTGGAGGTGACCCAAAGTCATTACACGGATTTGAATCTCCCTGTAATTGAGAGAGATACATTTGGAAGGGGTTTAATTTTTGTTTTCTTCTGCAGTTGTTTTTTTTTAATACCTATGTCATCAAAAATAAATTATTCTGTGTGATAAGAGTGGTGTCAGAACAGCCCCCTTTATTTTTTATTTTGATATATGTTACAATGCTACAATTAATTATGTATTATTATGAGTCCCAGTACTGAAAGCTGAGAGCTGGTACATAATTGCCCTGCACCAATCTTAGGAAATACCTCAACCTTAGGATTTGATTCTAGAAATTTTTTTTATTTTTTTTAATCCCATGTATCCAGTTGGATTAATTTAAACTAGTAACATCCAAAAGGAGCTCAGTGAACTTAAGATGAAATTCCATCTCCTTCTTTCATCTATGAAATACAGTGTAAATATTGGTTCAAGTATTTTGCTGAACCAGAGCTTTGAAATACTACATTCTTTATACTTAATTGACTCAAAAAATAAAGAAAAAAATATTGCAGATACTTGACTCAGCTGTCAGTAATACACCAATGTTCTCAAAGCTGATATTTAGAGCATATTGAACTGTGACAAATGCCTAGAACTTGACTTCCCTTGGTTTTCTTGCCTAACAAGAATCACAGGATGTTAGAAGGAAGAGACCACTGGAGATCATCGAGTCCAACAAAATCTAGGACAGGTCACTCAGAAATGCATCCATACAGGTCTTGAAAGTCTCCAGAGAATGAGAATCCACAACCTTTTTGGGCACCCTGTTCCAGTGCCCTGCAACCCTTACCGTAAAGAAGTTTTTCCTCATGTTGAGATGGAACTTCCTGTGCTCTGGTTTACATCCATTGCCCCGTGTCCTATTACAGGGCATGACTGAAGAGAGGTTGGCCTGTCCTTCTTGACACCTGCCCTCCAGATGTTTGTGTACATCAATGAGATCCTCTCTCAGTCTTCTCTTCTCTAGACTAAACATGAAACAGCCTACATGCTTTCTCTGTGAAAATTCTTTTTTAAAGCTACCCCTCATGGACCAGAACCTGCTAAGCTGCCTGGACAATTACCCTTTCACTTAGTGGTTACATCTTCTACTGATGCAGCTTTCCTGCTGTTCTTGGTGCAGGGAGTAGTCTGATCATCAGCCCCATGTCTTTTGTGTTTTGCCTTGGCTTTTAAATGGCAGTATCAATGAGTCAGAGGACACAGTGTGGCCAATGCACAAGCTGCTGAAGTGATATTGAAGGCCACAAAGAATATTTTTAAGCTTGCATTTGTGACCCTGTGGGCCTGTCAAAAGCCCACAGCATGGTGTATCACATCACAGATGCATTTCCTAGTCCTTTTGGTTTGGCAGAGGTTCCTGGCTTGTGGGAACTGAAGCAGCACAGTCACCTGGAACTAAGCCTTGGTGACAGGTAGTGCTCCCACCAGGGAAAGGACAGCAAAGGAGGAAAGGCATTGGCCACTGATGCCCTGAAAAACTGATGCTGGCGTTACGATGGTGCTGGAGGCACTATGGACCTGGGTGTTTCACCAGGTTTTCACCAAGGCGCCTTCTATTTTCCTCTTGTGTTCTCTTCCCAATGGCTAGAGTTCAGTCCCTAGTTGCTTGGGTTGTGATTTGATTTTGAAAATCCTCATTTAAGCTAAAAAAACAAATGCAAAACTTTGTAATTAAAATGGTTGATAAGTGAACCTAAATCAGGGCTTACCTGCCTCTCCTCTTTGTAAACAGGAAAATTAAAGAAGACATTGGGAACCGCCCTGCAGTAAAATATTTTAGATTTTCTTTCAACATTAAGTAGCACATAGGAAAATTGTGTCTGTGGAAAAGAATTTAAATGTTTCTTAAAAGAAAATTCATGTCTATCTTTCAAGAAAGTCATAGCCTTGCCTTCTGCATAAAAGGGGGGGATGGGACATAAGGTAGTGGCTTTGGGACAGGGCACAGGGGCTGTGCAGACGTGTGGCCAGCCCTTGTAGAAAATCCACAGACCCCTTAAGCACTGCCTGACTGGTGGCTAAAGCCGTCTCTGTTTCCACCCTGTGCCTTGGCATGGTGAGGTGCTGCTGGCATCACTGCACCCTCCCAGCCCTCCTAGCATCTCCAGCAGCAGTGAAGGGCTGGGGGAGTCATGCTCCCTGAAATGAACACAGGCCTAGCAAGACTTCTGGTCTCAAAATGGACAGGAGATTAAAGCTGTATACTCCCTCTTTTTCTTTTTCACTAGCCCTTTCTTCTCCCTCTCTTTGAGCTGGTTGACTGGGACAGAGGCAGAAATTGGCGGTGTCTTTGTGACACTTCAGAATTTACTTTTACTACACCTGATTTTTAAGAAAAAGCAGGTGCCTCTGTCATTTTGTAATGGAGGCCATCACTTTCTCTGCTTCAATCTCTGATAAAAGCTTCAGCAAATAATTGCATTCATGCAGCAGAGATTTGACAGGGCTTCCTGTCTCCACTGCAATTTCTGTGGCTGCTGTCACCTTTTGTTATAAATTCAGGAGAAGCCCCCAGTGCTCCACATGCAATGAAATAATCCAAATGGCTGTCTTTTTTTCTTTTTAAGTCTTTATATTCTTTTTCTTGTGCAGGCCAGATGTACGATCTCACCACCTTTGTCCTCCTGCCCTGTTTATTATATTGAAAGCCAGAAATCAGACTTGTCTCCTTAACTTTCTTATTTATTTATATTAGGGGCCAAATCTAATAGCTCACATTTGGTCAAAAGAATGACCTCACTTGTGCAGCTCAGGACTCAAAACAAGAATGTATACAATGCCATCTGCATCTGCAATCAGGATTTTGTATCCTGTGACACTTGGAGTTATCAAAGAGAGAATGAAAAGAAACGCAATAAAAGATTATGTTCTTCCTCCCTTATATACAGAGCAAGCATCTTATGCAAGGTTAGCATCCAAGGTGTTAATTTACAAGAAAGAGTAGGTTTTTGGGTGTTTCATGAATGCATTCATTAATGCAAATAGTTTCTTAGGCTATTGGTTACAGGGGCTAGGCCTATATGTGTGATTATGCTAGAGAAACCAGCTCAAGGGAGAAGGTTTATTCATTTGGGTGCAGTTCCTTCTACCCTGTAAAGGTGATTCCTTGATTCATTGATTGGCCAAGGCTTTAACACATACAGATGCCTATGTTCTTTGTAGTGCATAGGGTATGTACAGAGTTATTTGCTGCTTACTTGAAGCATGTTGTGATGTCAAAGCTAGTTAGGTAACAGCCTGCTTTAAAGAAAATTTAAAGTATTCTTGGGAAATGCCAAAATATATGTGAATTAGATGTAGGTTAAGTAGAAAATCATCCCAAGATCAAGTGTTGAATTTCAGCTGGTTAAAGAAAATGAAGGGTTTATCAGAGCACAAAAAGCAAGGAAATACCTGAGGCTCAGATGCTTTGCAGAGAAGCTTCACATTCCCTGTTGTTGATTATCCCTTTGACAAATACGTGTTAACACACTGTCATTTACCGTATCAAAATGTCAGCAGGGAGAGCTGCATCACCACCAGGGAGTTCTGCTGCTGCAGCAATCAGCCCCATTCGGACAGCTATTTTACAATCTTTACTGCTTTGCCATTTTTATTCATAATCTGCTGTTGACAACAAACCCATTAACCGATGATGCGAGGGCTTTTGCAGCAGCAGCCGCCCTCCTCTGCGCGCTGCTTTTCTGTGAGCCCAGGCCTCCCCCTGCCAGGCAGGCAGGAATCCTTGCTGCAGCTGGCTGAGCCGAAGCGTGATGAATTACTGCAGCGATGTGTCAGTGGGGACGGCAGGACTGAGTCATCGTGTGCCCGCGCAGAGTCCCCCGCCTGGGCCCGCGCAGAGCACGGGCACCGCACCGAGGACTTGCGCTGTCTCCTCCCGTTGAGATCAAATTAAACCTTGCATAGATATGAGTTATGTGATCTACCAAAAGGACAGATTTCTGGGAGGCGTACTGTGCTGTCAGTGCTGCCGTTGCACGCTTGAGCAGCGGCTGGATGCGGATGCCTCTGCTCCCACAGGCTTTCGGCACAGAAGCTGTTCTGCCTGCTAAGTCTGTCGATGGCAAAGCCTGTGCTGTGTCCCAGGCGTAAGGCTTGGATACTGCTTAAAAACCACTTCAAAGCCGCAAGTCAGCAGAGAATTGGGTTGCTAGGATTTAATCTTAGAGTGGTACAGTGGAATTAAGGGAACCTTCCCTGACAGGTTGCATTTTTTGTCTTGGAAATCGTGAAAAATGTCACGCAGACTTTTGTTGCACAGCACATCTACTTCTCCCCTCGACAGCGGGCGCAGGGAGCCGGTTTTGCAGTCTGCTGAAGTAACTGCAGGGAGCTGCACGCCAAGCCCTCGATAACGACATGAGTCAGACCTGGTGCTACCCCTGCGCCGCAGGAAGAATCTTATCCAGGATGAAATTTTAAAAAATGAGATGGGAATACTAGCATCCCTCCCCTCCTGATCCCCCGCCGAGGCACATCCAGCGCGCGGCCTGCGTTCTCGAGAACAATCTGTTCTCGCAGCTCCCAAGCACAGGAGGAGCACCCAGGGCTGGGCTGCTGCCAGGACTGATAGGACGCCTGGAACGTGTGATCCCCATGGGAAAACAACTCTCTGCAGGGTTACAAGGCAACTGGCTGCCTCCCTCCTCGTTTCTCCCACGCAACTGATTATTTGCAGCATTCACAAAGCATGTTTGTGTTCAAATGTCTCTGCACATGAAGATTCACTGTTTTTCTGCCTTACTTTTTATTTCCCATGCAAGCTTTTAGTAACTTCCAATAAAGGACACACAAGATGGTTGCTGTTACTGCTACAAGCCCATGCACCTTAAAGAGGGAAGGAGTTTTTTTAGATTGTTTGCTTTTTTAATTAAATTGATCTCAGGTTAAAATTCAAATTTTAAAATCTGAATATGAAGCAGCTGCAGTAAGACCCCAAGGGGGGAAAAGTTAGCTTTTATAGCTTCATTCAAAGCTTCTGTGAGGAGAATGCAGTCAAAAATTATGTAAAGAGAGACATTTTACTCTCCTCTCTACTGCAGATTAGGCTTGCATGTTGAAGGGGTGCAATGCTGAGGTTTCTGGAGGGTGCTGATAGTGAAATTAAACTTCTCATTCAGTAGAATCCCAATGAAACTTTAAAGCATTTAAGCTTGTTTAGTATTATTTTCACTATGGTTTCCTTCCAATGCCTTGATCTTCAAAGACACCATCCATGGCTGTGCACCTCCTCTCAGTTTGCAAAGCTGTATGAATCCCCTGACACCAGTGGCTTCAACTCACTCCTCAGCTCAGGGATTTTTGAAGCTTGCCTCTCCAAGGTATTGCATTTAATAAACAAAAGGGGAAGGGAAGGCCCAAGTTCAAGGTGTGTGGTAGTAGGACTTGGGGTCGGGGTTACTTTCCTGAGAAAAGGGTTCTTTGAGGGGCCAAAGTGGTAATCAGAGTTTCTGAATAAAGCATGTGATGAAATGTTCCTTATCATTCACATTTCATGTGCTTACGTTGTCTAAAACACGTCTTGAAGTTGTTTTAGTTCCAGTGTTTGAAATTCATTTGAAGAGCCACCAAAAACAGTTTACAGTTCAATTGCATCTCTGATTTATATCAGAAAGGAAGTATAACGCTACTCTTGGGCACCCCTATGTTTTATTCAGTAGGCACTGTCTTGTTATGCTGAGGTTTGAGCATAGAGGTAGGAATTATCAGCTGTGCTGGAAACAGCTTAAATTCTTTCCCACTGTTATTTGGTGACCTTCAGTTCCACAGGCTCAGGCCATGCCCTGCATTACTGTATTGGAATCACCTTGGGCTGCAGATCTTGTGCCACAGGTGGTTTTGATCCTCTATTGACTGTGTGAGAGTAGAAATGAGACACTTTAATTTTTCATACCTTAATTTGTAGGGATATATTATTTCCTAGACCTTACCAGCATGGAATGAAATAATTAACTCTGTGCTTATTGACAATCCCTAAAACTTTTTACAATATCACATTATGTGACAATTGTGACTGAAACTTGCAATTTTTTTTTAAGACCAGAGGGCAGTAAGTGAGCTTCTTTCTTCTTCTTACATTGCTCTTGGTGCAAGATTCTCTAGTTAACTTGGGCTCCCAAATCAAAGCTCTAGGCTGTTTTCTTGCACAGTTGTGAGGCTGTTGCTGATGCTAGGATGTGCCTTATCTCTGCCAGGAGTAACAACTCTGTAGGGATGGTTCATTGTATGACAGGTGCTTATCAGAAGCTGTTGTGCTTCAGTGATGGTGGGAGCATTTGTCTGGGGAATGGTGCAGAATCTAGGGCATTCTTACTTGGATGTCTGTCTTATTTCCAGCTTCACAAGAAAGTGGAACACAACTGGCACCAAACGGGAGTTTGAATGCTTCATCTACTATGGGATGGTCTTTGTTTTCTACAACTTCTCTACAAAAACCCACTTCTGCTCCTGGAACCCCAGGTAAGTCCTGAAAACATACACTCTATTATCCTATATGAACAGTTAAAAAGATGCAAAAGATTTTAATCTCTTCTTCACTTCTGCATTGTCCTGGAATGAGGGCCACCTATTTATTCATGCAGGGTACACTGCGTCCATGTCATCTAGCTATAAAGATATGATGAGTGATAGGTGAACTTCAAAACACTCAGTTGGAATACTCAATGTCGTTACAGGAGGACATCATTTACAGAAGATAATAGCAGCCTTTATATGTGTTGTATGTGGTCATTGTGTAGCATTGACTGCTAGAAGAGGTCATTGAGATAAATCTTCTGACTGCAAAGTGAAGGGGACGAAGGAGAAAGCAGCTATAATTTTTACAACTGTTAATAATATCTGAAGGGCAAGTTAATGCATGTTACCAATTAGATGACCCTGTTCAAAGCACAACATGGTTACATGCAGGGGTCAAAAAGATATGAATCCTTTCTAACTCCAGTCTAGTTTTATTGGTTTTCAAGGAATGTTTTGGTGTATTTATCTACTAAGCAGCACTGTAGTGAATGTAGATGCCAGGTCGTACGTGTTATCATTTATTGTGCTTCTAGCTGGCTTAACTTTCGTAGATTTTGAAGAACCACTTATTCAGGGTTTTTTAAGGTCTTCTGAGCCTTCATTTTACTCAGTACTTACTTTCAGCTACATGTGTCTAAATCCAATAAAGACACTGATTTGTTTACGTACCCCAATCATTATTAATGTTTAACATCCCCCAGGAGATACAAGACTCTTTTCACAACCTCTGGATTGTGTTTGTGGGAGATAAGTATGTGCATGTACTGAGATTTTTCCTCATAGAGGAAAGGACTGGATATAAAACTGAAGCAATATCATATGCTCAGTATGCTCTGAAATGCTTAGAAGCATGCAAAAAAATCTGTTGTAATAATAAGTATTTGAAGAAAGTTAGGATTTTCTCATTTTTAATCCAATGCCACTGATTTAGGCTGGATTTCTTACAGTTACTTCAATAAGCCTATGGCCCATATGCATATATTGTGAGCTGCAATTACTTGATTATCCTGCTAGGTTTTGTGTCTTTGGGCAGACATGTGCATGGTATGGAAACTTTACTATTGGTACACTGCAACAATGCAGTAAATTACTGTGTTTTTCATAGAATCATAGAATCTTAGGGGCTGGAAGGGACCTCGAGAGATCATCTAGTCCAACCCCCCTGCCAGAGCAGGGTCACCTAGAGTACATCACACAGGAACTCATCCAGGTGGGTTTTGAATGTCTCCAGTGAGGGAGACTCCACAACCTCCCTGGGCAGTCTGTTCCAGTGCTCTGTCACTCTCACAGTAAAAAAATTTTTTCGGATATTCACCTTGAACCTCCTATGCTCCAATTTACACCCATTACCCCTTGTCCTATCACTGGTCATCACCGAGAAAAGCCTAACTCCGTCCCCCTGACACTCACCCCTTACATATTTGTAAACATTGATGAGGTCACCCCTCAGTCTCCTTTTCTCCAAGCTAAAGAGACCCAGCTCCCTCAGCCTTTCCTCATAAGGGAGATGTTCCACTCCCCTAATCATCTTCGTAGCTCTGCGCTGGACTCTCTCGAGCAGTTCCCTGTCCTTTTTGAACTGAGGGGCCCAGAACTGGACACAATACTCCAGATGTGGCCTCACCAATGCAGAATAGAGGGGGAGGAGAACCTCTCTTGACCTACTAACCACACCCTTTCTAATGCACCCCAGGATGCCATTGGCCTTCTTGGCCACAAGGGCACATTGCTGGCTCATGGTCATCCTCCTGTCTACCAGGACCCCCAGGTCTCTTTCACCTACACTACTCTCCAGCAGTTCAGCCCCCAACCTGTACTGGGACATGGTGTTGTTCTTCCCCAAATGTAAAACTCTGCACTTCCCCTTGTTGAATTTCATCATGTTTCTCCCCGCCCAACTCTCCAACCTATCTAAGTCTCTCTGAATGGCAGCACAGCCTTCTGGTGTGTCAGCCACTCCTCCCAGCTTAGTGTCATCAGCAAACTTGCTGAGGGTACATTCTATACCCTCATCCAGGTCGTTGATGAAGATGTTGAACAACACCGGTCCCAGCACCGACCCTTGTGGGACTCCACTAGTAACACACCTCCAACCAGATTCTACCCCATTGACTACAACTCTCTGACTCCTTCCTTTCAACCAGTTCCTAATCCACCTCACTTCCTGGTCACCAAACCCATACCTGATCAACTTATCCACAAGGATGCTGTGGGAGACGGTGTCAAATGCTTTACTGAAATCAAGATAAACCACATCTACCGCTCTACCATCATCTATCCACCTAGTAATTTCCTCATAGAAGGCTATGAGGTTAGTCAAACATGATTTACCCTTGATAAAACCATGCTGACTGCTCTTGATGACCCCCATGTCCTTGATGTGCCTGGAGATAGTCACAAGAACAAGTTGTTCCATCACCTTTCCAGGGATGGAGGTGAGGCTGACCGGTCTATAGTTACCCGGGTCCTCCTTCTTGCCCTTCTTGTAGACTGGAGTGACATTTGCTATCCTCCAGTCCTCAGGCACCTCACCTGTTGCCCATGATTTACTGAAGATGATGGAGAGTGGCCTAGCAATGACCTCCGCCAGCTCCCTCAGCACCCTTGGGTGCATTCCATCTGGACCCATTGATTTATGGATGTCCAGATTACTCAACTGATCCCTAACCCAATCCTCATCTACCATGTCAAACTCTTCCTCTATCTTGACTTCTTCTGGGGCTATATGAATCTGGGGCTCATAGGGAGACCCTGCAGGAGTGAAGACAGAGGCAAAGAAGGCATTCAGCACCTCTGCCTTCTTTATATCCTCTGTCACCAGGGCTCCCACCTCATTCCTCAATGGGCCAATATTGCCTCTATTGCTAGTTTTGCTAGCTATGTACTTGAAAAAGCCCTTTCTATTATCCTTAACCTGACTTGCAAGGTTAAGTTCCAAGGAGGCCTTAGCTTTCCTAATTGCCTCCCTACATCCTCTGACAACAGTCCTATATTCCTCCCAAGTGACCAGCCCCTCCTTCCATGATCTATAGATTTTCCTTTTCCACTTAAGTTTGCCCAGTAGTTCCTTCTTTAACCATGCAGGTCTCCTAGCACCCTTACTAGATTTCCTAACCATTGGGACACTCTGATCCTGTGCTTGCAAGAAGTGGTCCTTGAATGTTGACCAGCTATCTTGAGCTCCTTTATTTTCTAGCACCCTGTCCCATGGGATTTCCCTTAATAGATGATTGAGGAGACCAAAGTTTGCCCTGTGGAAGTCCAGGGTTCTGGTCCTGCTGGGTATTTTGTTCCTTAGATTTCCTAACCCTTGGGACGCTCTGATCCTGTGCTTGCAAGAAGTGGTCCTTGAATGTTGACCAGCTATCTTGAGCTCCTTTATCTTCTAGCACCCTGTCCCACGGGATTTCCCTTAATAGATGATTGAGGAGACCAAAGTTTGCCCTGTGGAAGTCCAGGGTTCTGGTCCTGCTGGGTATTTTGTTCCTTCCACACAGGATCCTGAACTCCACCATCTCATGATCACTGCAGCCAAGGCTGCCATTGACCACCACTACTTCAACAAGGCCCTCCTTGCTGGTTAGTACCAGTTAGTAACCAGCTGGTTAGTTTAATTAAAGGTTCTTCCACACAGGTAAAGTCTGCATGTTAAAATGAAATTGTAATACATATAAAACTCCAGATCACATGTACTGAATTACCTATTGCATTTACAACTACACTTTACATTTAAAATTTGCCCAGAAAGTTTTATAATGTTACTTTGGTCTGTTTGCAAAAGTCATCGTTTTACTCAGCTCAGTTTGCTGTAAAACCAGTAAGTCTTCTTGATCTTGGGGACTACCCAAGGTGTCAGGACTGTATTTTAGCCTGGCTGTGAAAGAAAGGGCTTGTTTCTCCAGCAGGAGTCAGTCTAGTGCTTGGCACAGCCAGTGCTCTGAGTTCCTATAAAACTGCGGTTTCAAAATTGCTTCCTCCCACACCAGGGTTTCCATGATTGCACCTTTCCTGTCTCCTCACAGCACCAGCTTCTTTCTTGCAGCTTAAGTACACAAGCGATTCCATTGCTCACCTTGAGGAGTGAGGTAGCTTATGCCAAATGGGTGCATCTTTAGACCACCCTTGCTCTCTTATTTTCTGAATATGTTACAGACTTGAAGAAAAAATGTTTTGCTTCTCTCTAAACAAATTTCTTCTCCTGTGTGCAATCGCTCAGGGCCAAGGGAAGCCATATGCTGCACCCTAATAAGTTTAGAAGCAAAGCAAGTGTGAAGCCATTTGTTTTGTTCTGTGCTGAGACTAGCAGAAATGCTGAGTCTCACTGCCATTAGATTATTTCTTCCCAAATCTTTGATATTTCACATTCAAGGGGATATTTTTGTTCACCACAGCAGAGGCTGATAAGTACAGTGGGGCTGGTGCTGCAGCCCATAAGGTTTAGAGCAGCTTGCCATTCAAGGCACCCAAGCCACAGCTTCTGCATGGGAGCTCAGGGGCAGACAAATTAATGTAAAAAAGATCCAAACCAGAACATTTCTATTTGCTTTACTCAACCAAAATAATTCAGTTGGCTAACTTCAATACAAAATAATATATTTAGTTTTGAGACAATTTTCCATTTAAAAAAAAAAAAAAAGCCATTTTGGTGAAAATTTCCTTTCTTGCTGCACAAAAAGAAAGAAGGATATTTTGAAGAGAAATTTCCCATCAACCATGCCAAGAGATCAGGATGTGGGAGGAGTACCATGGAGCTGAAGAGCGACTGAAATGAGTGGGGGAGCCTAGGAGAGAACTTGCATAAACATCAGAGAACAGTAGTGGTGTATTAAAGAAGTTTGAAACAACCAGCCATGGAGGAGGGGCTGCACAGTGCGCACCCAGGCTAGAGAAGGCAATAAGGACTGTTTTTAGCAAAGACAGCAAACTGCGTGCATGCCATTGACACATGCACTTCTTTAACTTTGGTTGTCATGTATGATATACCTCCTACTCATCCTCCACCTCCACAGAGGATTACTTGCTAATATTTTATTTTCTCCTTATGTTAAATTAATGAAAAATCAGAGATTTAATGGATCAGTGAGAGTCTAAATACATCTGAGAAACTGCAGATATTGTTGCTTTTCATTCTGTGACCTAAACAACAAAAAAATCCATAAAGCAGTATGAGCTTAAGTTCACCCAGCAGAGTGGTAAGATCAAATGATCTATTATAATAAACTGTCAGATGAATCAACCTGCTGCATCTATTGATATCTTTGTTGAACTCCTCCAATTATAAATCCTACTCACTTGATTCAAAGGAGGCATCTCCCTAAGAAAAATTCTTATGAGTAAGACAAGGAGGGTTTGACTCTCTCTGTATCCAACCTGTGTAGGAACTCTGGATAGTGATATTAGCTAAAAATTGCCCACTGTATCTTCAGCTTCTACACAAATAAAGAGACACAAAAATCAAAGCGCCTTGGAGATGCAAAACACAGCAAAGCCTCAGTTAACACAATTACAGATCTATAGCATGGTCAGGGCAAGGAGGGTTTTTTAAAGTTCTTAATTTTGCTTTGATTTATATTGTGGTATCCCCTCTGAGTAATCAGCCAAATGTATTCATTTGTTTTGCCAGGGAACACAGTTTCATGTGGCTGCTTTCCAAAAACAGAAGCAGCAAACTGCAGGGTATCCGGGCTGCTTAGGTAGCGGTTGTTGGAGAGCAGAGTGGGGAGAGGTTAGTTATTGGTCTCTTTCTCCATCTGTCAAGCTTCTAACCAGCGCTGAACTGACTCAGGCAGGTATTTTCAAATCAAATAATCATTGCATGCCAATTTTTTTATCCTTGTCCTCCTTACTGCACACTGAGGACTCAGCACAGCCAGTGTTGCACACCTCACTTTTAATGATGAATCTGGAAATCTTCCCAGGTTATTTATGCAGAGCATCTGCCCCCCAACTCTCAGCCCCAAAGGATGTGGTGAGCTCTGAACAGGCAGCTAGAGCAACTGTGGTAACTTTGTCATGAAGCAAAATGCTGCCTTTCCTTCTGTCCTTATCCTGTAGAACAGCAACATGTGACCTCCCACACCTAAAAGAGCACTGGATGGTTGTTTAGAAAATGCAAAATGACGTTCCCTGCTGAGCCTCTTTGATAAGCACAGCTTTGTTTGTGTGGCAGGGCTGAGCAGTCTCTGAACAGAGGGTGAGCTGGTGCCTTGCTTGCGTACTGGGGGCAGGGAGAGAGAGAGAAGGGCACAAGGTTTTTCCTATTTAATTTTTCATGTTCTAGCAGAATCTGGAAGACATACCTTTGAGAAAGAAGCTTGTAGTTTTATGGTATAGATACATGCAGTTTTTTAAAAATGACCAAGACTCAGGAGGTTCCTACAGTCCTTGAAAGAAAGGCAGGCTTGACTAGCTTTTTTCTATTTACTTATTTGCTCTAAACTGAGCCAAGATGGTTCAATCTTTTTTGCAAGAATGAAGTTATGGGAAAATGTATAATTATGATATAAGGGGGTTTCTTAGAAAAGCTTAACTTTCCTCAGGGTTGGGAGACAAGGTTTGAAGTTTCACAGGGAAGTGACCTATATGTAAAACTTAACAATGTCTCCTGCCTTTCTCCAAGAATGTGCACACACAGGGTTTCCCCATTTGCTTGTTTAGCCATTGCTGTGTAGAATACTTGGTATTTTTTCCATGGTATCCCATTCCTTATAGGCTGAAGGAAAGGCAGTACTGGGGTAAGAAGCAATCGTGTAATATATGCATGTTTCCTTAATGCCAGGTATATCTCCTGCTGCGTTCTGTATTGTGTGTCATTCCAAACCTCCCTTCACAGGCAAGCTATTGACTTCCAAGGTTTTCCTTGGCTCTTGTCATTAATATTGCCCAAACATGCTATAAGCATTGCTTAATGAATAGTTACAGAGATCCTCTCTGAGCAAGGTGACACTGCTTTCTGCAGATGGATTATGAGATGATAAAAAGCTAGGGGAAAAAGTCCCCTCTGGATCCTAAGAAGCCAGGGTGAGATAACTGTATGTTCAGAGTACTTAGCATTACTAATATCTAGTATGTTCAAGAAGAACTTTTACTGCTAACTTTGAAGTACTTGGCTTTTCACACATTTTTGTGATTAAAATGCATTTAAAGCTTTGTCACATGTATTATTAGCAAAAGTGGTTATTTACACCCCAGTGGGTACAGAGAGAAGGAAAAACAAGAGCAGTCATTCTGGATTTCAAAGAGTATGTTAACAGCAGTAGAATAATGTGCTTGCCTCATATTACAGCTCCAGTGGTAGGAGCTGTCTTTGTGCAAAGTGTCAGTCCACAGCACAGAAAGTGCAGTAAGGGTGTAAGAGTTGATTTGTTACTCCCTGGGGACCCTGGTCAGAGGAGGAGCTCTGCTGCCCCAGGCACTGAGGGCAGAGTCTCAGTGCCTGCCTGGAGTTACGGCTGCCTTCATTCTGCTTCCTCTCCAGTCTCCCAGGCTGGTACAGCTGGGACACTGAGGATGTGCTGGTGGGTCACATCCTCCCTCTTGGGACAGAGTCAGATGTACCACATTGCCCATGGGTGCTGTGGCACCAGTGAACCCCGAAGGGACTCAAAGAGGGGGCTTTTATGGTTCCCTCCAGCCTAGAGGAAGGTGACCAAACTCTGTGATTTATGCCTCAAAATCATTAATGACTGCTGAGGATATAGTGTCTGAGGGTTTTTTTCCATAGTAGCTTCAGTTATCCAGTGTGAGAAGCCTCACCAGACAGGCAGAGTTCCAGTCACTCACCCCTGGCAGGAGACAGTCTGTTTTGTACAATCAGATAAATGTTTTACTGCCAGTTCACACAGGTGGGCATTCTCAAATACTCAGACAAGTTAGGTGCGTGGCTCCCTTTGACTTTCGAGTGGTTACAGAAGAGATTTAATGCAATATAATAAAAGTCACTGTGGGAGTGATGGTTTTCTGTGGCTAGCCTCCAACTGTGAAGTATTCACAGCCACCTGAATTTCCAAGTGTGCTACAGTCTAGACACACAAAAGCAGCAGCATACTAACAAGAAGCTAAGAAAAAATTAGTGTTCTGCACCAAAAACATGTGAAGTGGCTGGGGGAAGCTGACAGTAGCAGGCCAGTAAGCATTGCTCACAGCGTTCTGCAAGGTCCGCTTTGTCTTCATTACCAATGTCTCTTACTCCTGATGCTCTGCAGTCTGCTAGCCAAAAGCACCAAGATAATTAATGAAGATTAATTTTTACGGGGTTTTGTGACACTTGAATACATGCCTCAATTAGGCATTTGAGGTTCTTTTATTAAAACACTTATATTGTCAGTTAAATGCCAGCTATTCACTCCCAGGCACTTACCTGGTTTCGGCAGGAGGAATTTTTAGGTATGTGTCGATTGGATTTTCTTCTCTTAAACAGAATAACAACCCAGCATAGGTTGTGCTTTGAGTTCTGCTCACATCTATAAGGGATGTCTATAGAATTTCACAGCCCAGACTTCCTGGGCTTGGGAACATTGTCAGTGGGTCAGATCTGGGTCCACACTTCTTGTGGGGCTACTGAGTACGTTGCTAGTCTGCCAGTTTGTAGTGTGTGACAACTCTGGGCATCTAACCTTAAACTAGTTACCTTAAACCTGGTATTTCTGTTTTATTGCAGACCTTCACATGAGCTCCCTGACAGAATCAACAAGTAAGTGCTCTTTGTGCACTTGTGAAAAGGGTGGGATGGGGTAGGAGAGGGACAGCCTGGGAACAGGAAACCTTGAGGGAGAAAGGAGGCTCTGGGGAAGAGTGCAGGTGAAGCATAGTACAGAGAAGTAGAGTGATGTTAAACTTGCACAATGAGTAACCTCAGTGTGATTTCAGCTGAATGCCATGTTGAACTAGCAGATACTGAAAAGAAAACAGGGTGGGAACAGAAGAAAAATCAGGCCTGGCGTATTGCGTGATGCAATAGGAAATTGTTATAAATAGAGTGTTTACCAAGGAGCTTGTTCTTGTCAGTGGTTCTCATTCCTTGTTCTGTGGTTAGAAGCAGCAGGTCCCAGACTCAGGCAAGAATTTCCTGTGCTAGTGAACCTGTATTGTCCTATTTTCCTTTCTCTGGGCTTATCAGGAAATAGTCTCTAATGTACCAGTCCCTCCAGGTTTTGCTGCTGCCAGCAAAAGTTTGTCCCTCCTGTTACCATGATGGATGTATTACTCCTATTATTATTCTGATCCCAGATCATTCTATAGCAGGAAAATATCTTCCAGATTTGCTTTCCAGATCCAGAGTGAGTAGACATGATGATCTACCTTGTGAGAAACTTTAATGAATGAAGTGGGTAACTGAGTTAAAGGTTTTAATTCCTTAATCCATTTTATTCATTCAGTAGTGGTGCTTTCTAGCTACTGTATTTCTCATTGATGGTCTCAAGTAGTTAAAACGCTAACCTAGGTATTTGTCTTTCCTGCATTACTCATATCTTGTTAATTTAACAGAAAACTAGGAAAATAACCAGTTAATTTGAATTCTCAGTTTTTCTCCTAAGGAGATGCTGCACAAATGCAGGGATATACATCCATGTTTTTCAGTGTAATTTGTTTCTGTTGACATTTTCAGTTATTATCCAGAAAAACTCATTGCTGTGATAATTGCCTGCCTGCCCTGTATATCATGCAGTATATCAGATAAGGTAGTGAAAAGGGCAGTAGTATTTTCCTGGGGAATCTAAAGCAATCACATGTAATTATGTATTCATAAGAATTACTTAAGTCACTTGATGATGGCTCACAGTTTCCATCCTTACATTATCACCCCTCAGCAGACAGGCACCACAGAGAGAGAACTTCTGCTTTAAAGAAACAGTGATTTTTCAGAGATAAGGGTCTTAGACAATTGTTGTTTCCTACGCTATCGCATCAGCGTCCCTCAGCTGTGGCTATATTGTTTAGGCACCACACAAGCTAAGTAAGTGATTATTTTTCCCCAGGAGGTTTCAGTCTCTGGCCAGACAAATGAAAGAGGGAAAGA